ATTTAATTTCCTCATGTTTACCATATCTGAGTAATTGAAATTTCTCATCGTTGAACTTCATATTGTTTTCTGCAGCCCACTGAAAGATTTGGTTGATTGTCCGCCGGAGCCTTCAGTGTCTGCAATGGAAGACTGTCATGCAATTGGGGTGTCATCTGCAAAGGAAGACACGGTGCTGTGGCTGACACCCTTTGGGTCTATGTCGGATATGAGGATGAGGAACAAGATGGGAGCTAGTATGTGCCTTGTGGAACAAGCTTTTCACCGTAGCTGCCTCGGACTTTACTTGTTGACGATACTCTCTGTTTTCTGTTAGTGAGGAAATTATAGATCCATCGACCATTTTCCTGTTATTCCTTTAGCGCGCATTTGGCGCTTTTACCCCCATGGTCACACTTGTCAAGGCTTTGGCAAAGTCGTATATATTACATCTGCGTTCTTTTTGTTTCTAGTGCATTTAGGCCCTTTGGTCGTATGATCCAGTAGTTGAGACAGACAGGAGCGACCTTTTCTAAACCCATGTTGCCCTGGGTTGTGTAACTGATGGGTTTCTAGATGGGGGGTGATCTTGCTTCTTAGACCCTTTCAAAGATTTTTTTGATATGGATGTTAGTGCTATTGGTCTGTAGTTCTTTGCTGTTGCTTTACTGCCCCTTTGTGAGTGGGGCTATGTCTGTTTTTTTTAGTAACTGAGGGACGACCCCCGTGTCCATGCTCCCTCTCCATAGGATGGAAAAGGCGTGATAGGGGCTTCTTGCAGTTCTTGATGAAAAACAGGTTCCATGAGTTGGCCCTGGGGGCAGAGTGCATGGGCATGTCATTTATTTGCCTGTTCGAAGTCATTTGGCGTCAGGATAAAAATCGGATAGGCTTGTGTTAATCAAATTTTGTGGCTCTCTCATAAAAAATTCATTTTGATCTTCGAAATCTCAGTTGGTTAGCGGCTTGCTAAAAACTGAGTCATATTTGGGGCTTGAGTAGCTCACTCATTTCCCTTGCTGTCATCTGTGTAGGACCCATCTTGTTTAAGTAGGGCCCAATTACTGGACGTTTTTCTCGATTTTGATTTGGCATAGAGAAGAAATACTTTGGGTTTCTTTCGATTTCATTTATGGCTTTTAGTTCTTCCCGCGATTCCTGACTCCTAAAAGGGTTCTTTTAGCTTAAGTTCGATGCTTGCTATTTCTCTGACCAGTGTCTCCCTGCGCATTTCTGATATATTGACCTCTTTTAGCCGCTCTGTTATTCTTTTCCGTCGCCTGTAAAGGGAGCGCCTGTCTCTTTCTATTTTACATCTACTCCTCCTTTTTCTTAGAGGAATAAGCCTTGTGCATACATCGAGTGCCACCGAGTTAATCTGTTCTAGGCATAAGTTTGGGTCTGTGTTGCTTAGTATATCTTCCCAGCTTATATCGGTTAGGACTTGGTTTACTTGGTCCCACTTTATGTTTTTGTTATTGAAGTTGAATTTGGTGAATGCTCCCTCGTGACTAGTCTCATTTTGTCGGTCTGAGGCTCCACGCATACATGTCTGAACCTCAATTATGTTGTGATCTGAGTATATTGTTTTTGATATGGTGACATTTCTTATCAGATCATCATTGTTAGTGAAGATGAGGTCTAGTGTATTCTCCAGTCTAGTAGGCTCTATTATTTGCTGGTTTAAATTGAATTTTGTGCAGAGATTTAAAAGCTCGTGTGAGTGTGAGTTTTCATCAGAGCTGCCTCCTGGTGTTATTACTGCAACAATATTATTTGCTATATTCCTCCATTTTAGGTGCCTTAAGTTGAAATCCCCCAGGAGCAAGATGTTGGGTGCAGGAGCTGGAAGATTTTCCAGACAGTGGTCAATTTTTAACAGCTGTTCCTGGAATTGCTGGGATGTTGCATCCGGAGGCTTGTAGACTACCACAATGACTAGGTTTTGGTTCTCGACCTTTACTGCTAAAACTTCCACTACGTCATTTGAGGCATTAAGCAGTTCTGTGCAAACAAGTGACTCTGCAATGTACAGGCCAACCCCCCCCTTTTGCCTGTTCACTCTGTCACATCTGTATAGGTTGTAACCTGGGATCCATATTTCGTTGTCCAAGTGATCCTTTATGTGGGTCTCAGTGAAAGCCGCGAACATTGCCTTTGCCTCTGCAAGCAGTCCACGGATGAAAGGTATTTTGTTGTTTATTGCTGGCTTTAGACCCTGTATATTTGCAAAGAAGAATGTTATCGGACTGGTGGTATTGTTGGTACTGGGGGGGATTTTTTTTTTCCGGCATTAGTATCTGTATCTGTTGGTTGGAGTGGAGGCCATCGACTGTGGTTCCACTCCAGGAATGACTGGATTTGGTGTACGATTTCTGCCATTTCCTGCCAGTTTTTTTTCTTCCTGGCACTAAAAAACCTCTCCCTCTTGAGTGGCTGTGGCTACCCGGGTTTTCCCATGGCCCTGGATGTTTTGTATCTTTTTGTCCCCTTTTAGATGGTATGCCTGGCAATTTAAGTTATAGCACAGTCTTTCCTGTACTGAAGAGGTACACATTTCAGGGTGAAAAAGCTTACAGGAAGGGATGTTTGCATTTTCCTGTTGTCATATGGGCATGACATTTCTAGGGTGGTCATAGTTGCATGTCCCATCTGTTTTTCCAGATTTCCCATGCCAGCAGATACCAAGTGCATAGTATGTGCACAGGCTTGGTTTCCGTTTGCCTTGGTTTCTGTGACTGTATTCCTGTTGGTGCATGTTTCCCTGTCTTATTCCTATCCTCCTTAGCACCAACAATGGAGCTCCCACCAGTTTGTTTTTGGTAATTTATCCTCACTATTGCTATTGGAGTCCTCTTGTTTGCTATTTCCTGCGGTATTTCTGGTTTGCAATATTGGTTTTATCTTATCTTTGACTACACTTGTTTCCCTACTATGGCTCCTGTCCTCTATGAGGTCATTTATATGTATTCCTTCCTGCGTATAATTCCCGACTACCTGGACAAAATCTCCAGCTTCACCATTACTGTCTACCAGGACAGTATCTCCAGCTTCACCATTTCTGTCTCCCAGGACAGCACCTCCAGCTTCACCATTACTGTCTCCCAGGACAGTATCTCCAGCTTCACCATTACTGTCTCCCAGGACAGCACCTCCAGCTTCACCATTACTGTCTCTGAGCAGTGTTGTTGGGTAGTGTTGGTGAGCAGTGTTGTTGGGTAGTGTTGCTGAGCAGTGTTGTTGGGTAGTGTTGCTGAGCAGTGTTGTTGGGTAGTGTTGCTGAGCAGTGTTGTTGGGTAGTGTTGCTGAGCAGTGTTGTTGGGTAGTGTTGCTGAGCAGTGTTGTTGGGTAGTGTTGCTGAGCAGTGTTGTTGGGTAGTGTTGCTGAGCAGTGTTGTTGGGTAGTGTTGCTGAGCAGTGTTGTTGGGTACTGTTGCTGAGCAGTGTTGTTGGGTAGTGTTGCTGAGCAGTGTTGTTGGGTAGTGTTGCTGAGCAGTGTTGGGCAGTGTTGCTGAGCAGTGTTGTTGGGTAGTGTTGCTGAGCAGTGTTGCTGAGCAGTGTTGTTGGGTAGTGCTGCTGAGCAGTGTTGTTGGGTAGTGTTGCTGAGCAGTGTTGTTGGGTAGTGTTGCTGAGCAGTGTTGGGTAGTGTTGCTGAGCAGTGTTGTTGGGTAGTGTTGCTGAGCAGTGTTGCTGAGCAGTGTTGTTGGGTAGTGTTGCTGAGCAGTGTTGTTGGGTAGTGTTGCTGAGCAGTGTTGTTGGGTAGTGTTGCTGAGCAGTGTTGCTGGGTAGTGTTGCTGAGCAGTGTTGCTGAGCAGTGTTGTTGGGTAGTGTTGCTGAGCAGTGTTGTTGGGTAGTGTTGCTGAGCAGTGTTGTTGGGTAGTGTTGCTGAGCAGTGTTGTTGGGTAGTGTTGCTGAGCAGTGTTGTTGGGTAGTGTTGCTGAGCAGTGTTGTTGGGTAGTGTTGCTGAGCAGTGTTGTTGGGTAGTGTTCCTCAGGATGGTTTTCTCTGTCACACACCGTTGTCCTGTCTTGCTGCGACACAGTAAACACCGCGTACAGTGTCATGGCCGCGGCACTAGTGTAAGTTGACCGTCAGATTGAGGGATTGTTTACTCTGGTGATTTGAAAATGGATCAACGATAATAAGCCTCTCTTATTGGTAGGATTCCTCTGACGTCAGAGATGATACTCGCATAATCCTCGTTTATTGGCGGAGTCCTGTGACGTCAGAGTTGATATTCGCATAATCCTCTCTTATTGGCTGGATTCCGCGACGTTGAAAATTTTGTCAAACGTAATTTTTGTGTTGTGCGTCCGTGACAGGATTATTTTGTGCACTGGGATTATACTGAGAGTTTAATCCCTTATCTAGGGATTGAGGTATCCTTGAGTCGTGTAGCCGATAGGTGTTAAACCCCATTAATAAACGAGGTTTATTGTTATTAAGAATTTGTGGTTTATCAAGAATTGTATTGCATTCAGGAAGCATATGTTGAGGGTCTTAGAATATGTTGAGGGTCTTAGAATATGTTGAGGGTCTTAGAATATGTTGAGGGTCTTAGAATATGTTGAGGGTCTTAGAATATGTTGAGGGTCTTAGAATATGTTGAGGGTCTTAGAATATGTTGAGGGTCTTAGAATATGTTGAGGGTCTTAGAATATGTTGAGGGTCTTAGAATATGTTGGAATGTGGTGAGGAAGAACATCCTCTGTTATGTACTGTGCTGTACTTGTTGGTATAAGTCTTGGTAATAAATCCTGACAAGTTGGTCTAGAAAGACACGTAAGCAAACACTAGGACATATTTATTAGAAAACGTTTCGTCCTCATCCCAATATGTCATTCTTCAGGTCACCAGGTGTCACTCACACCTCACTCTCCGCCTATATATATATAACCTCTGTATGTTAGAAGTGATCAGGGTTCCAGGACCGAAATGTCTTCTAATAAATATGTTGCTAGTGTTTCTTACGTGTTTTTCTAAACCAGCTGTACGTGTTGCTTCCTTCTTCAAAGTTCTAACCTGACTTGTCCTTCCCTGTTGCGTCTCTTGGACCCTGTTGACCACCTGTTGCGTCTCTTGGACCCTGTTGACCACCTGTTACGTCTCTTGGACCCTGTTGACCACCTGTTGCGTCTCTTGGACCCTGTTGACCACCTGTTGCGTCTCTTGGACCCTGTTAACCCCTGTTGCGTCTCTTGGACCCTGTTGACCACCTGTTGCGCCTCTTGGACCCTGTTGACCACCTGTTGCGTCTCTTGGACCCTGTTGACCACCTGTTGCGTCTCTTGGACCCTGTTGACCACCTGTTGTGTCTCTTGGACCCTGTTGACCACCTGTTGCGCCTCTTGGACCCTGTTGACCACCTGTTGTGTCTCTTGGACCCTGTTGACCACCTGTTGCGCCTCTTGGACCCTGTTGACCACCTGTTGCGCCTCTTGGACCCTGTTGACCACCTGTTGCGTCTCTTGGACCCTGTTGACCACCTGTCTGCTGACACATTTGAGCTCATCACACACTACTGACGAGTGTAGTGATGCTTCATCACTGGAGGCTGCCCAGGTGGCTAACCCTCTGGGGTTAAAAATCCGAACGAAAAGTAGATGAGGGAAGATACCCTTATGCTGTTCAAGGCAAGTTTGTTAAAAAAATAAGAATTACCTTCCCTAATAATAATTGTGGAACAGTACCCAGTGTGCCTGGTTCCAGTCATTATAATTCCAGTTTCTTGGAACCTGAGTCCCTTCCATGCTTCCTGGATGAAGGTATGTAGTGGTGCTTCAAGAGCGATAATGGCGTGGGTTTGATGGGGAGTTTGGCTTTACCAATAGACTTGTCAGTCAGTGTTCCCGGCTGTAGGCTCATGTGGTAGCGTATTGGGTTCACATCTGCAGCACCCACAGTTCGATTTCTTAAGTGGAAACCCTAGACATGTTGCCTTCTACTAGTCACCCCTTCCCCACCTAGTAGTAAGTAGGTACCTGGGTGCCGCTCTAGCCGACTGCTGAGTCGCATCCTGGAAACTGTACCAGGCATCCTCTACAGTAATTATACCAGGCATCCTCTACAGTAATTGTACCAGGCATCCTCTACAGTAATTATAGCAAGCATCCTCTACAGTAATTATACCAGGCATCCTCTACAGTAATTATAGCAAGCATCCTCTACAGTAATTATACCAGGCATCCTCTACAGTAATTATACCAGGCATCCTCTACAGTAATTGTACCAGGCATCCTCTACAGTAATTATACCAGGCATCCTCTACAGTAATTATACCAGGCATCCTCTACAGTAATTATAGCAAGCATCCTCTACAGTAATTATACCAGGCATCCTCTACAGTAATTATACCAGGCATCCTCTACAGTAATTGTACCAGGCATCCTCTACAGTAATTATACCAGGCATCCTCTACAGTAATTATACCAGGCATCCTCTACAGTAATTATACCAGGCATCCTCTACAGTAATTATACCAGGCATCCTCTACAGTAATTATACCAGGCATCCTCTACAGTAATTATAGCAAGCATCCTCTACAGTAATTATACCAGCATCCTCTACAGTAATTATACCAGGCATCCTCTACAGTAATTATACCAGGCATCCTCTACAGTAATTATAGCAAGCATCCTCTACAGTAATTATACCAGGCATCCTCTACAGTAATTATACCAGGCATCCTCTACAGTAATTGTACCAGGCATCCTCTACAGTAATTGTACCAGGCATCCTCTACAGTAATTGTACCAGGCATCCTCTACAGTAATTGTACCAGGCATCCTCTACAGTAATTGTACCAGGCATCCTCTTCAGTAACCGTACCAGGCACCCCCTTACCCCCCAGGACTCGCCTATTTGTGGCTGCAGGGGTCGATTCACAGCTCCTGGCCCCACCTCTTCTCTGGTCCCTACTAGGTCCACTCTCTCCCTCCTCCATGACCTTTATCATACCTTATCTTGAAGCTATGTATGGATCCTGCCTCCACTACATCACTCTTCAGATTATTCTACTTCCTGCCACCTCTGTGTCTGAAGAAATACTTCCTATCATCCCTGTGACTCATCTGAGTTTTCAACTTCCAGTTGTGACCCCTTGTTGCTGTGTCCCATCTCAGGAACATCCTGTCCCTATCCACCCTGTCAATTCCTCTCAGTATTTTACATGTCGTTATCATGTTTCCCCCTATCCCTCCTGTCCTCCAGTGTCGTCAGGTTGATTTCCTTTAACCTCTCCTCTTAACCTTTAGCTCAGGGACTAGTCCTGTTTCAAACCTTTTGCACTTTCTCTAATTTCTTAATGTGCTTGACCAGGTGTGAGTTCCATGTTGGTGCTGCATACTCTAATATGGGCCTGACGTACACGGTGTACAGAGTCTTGAACGATTCCTTACTGAGATATCGAAACGCTATTCTTAGGTTTGTCAGGCGCCCATATGCTGCAGCAGTTATATAGCTGATGTGCGCCTCAGAAGATGTGCTCGGTATTATACTCACCCCAAGATCCTCCTCATTGAGTGAGGTTTGTAGTTTTTGGCCCCCTAAACCTTACTCTGTCTGCGATCTTCTTTGACCCTCCCCAATCTTCATGACTTGGTGGGGTTAAACTAGTGTGTGTACTCACCTAGTTGAGGTTGCAGGGGTCGAGTCCAAGCTCCTGGCCCCGCCTCTTCACTGGTCGCTACTAGGTCACTCTCCCTGAACCGTGAGCTTTATCATACTTCTGCTTAAAACTATGTATGGATCCTGCCTCCACTACATCGCTTCCCAAACTATTCCACTTCATGACTACTCTGTGGCTGAAGAAATACTTCCTAACATCCCTGTGATTCATCTGTGTCTTCAGCTTCCAACTGTGTCCCCTTGTTACTGTGTCCAATCTCTGGAACATCCTGTCTTTGTCCACCTTGCCAATTCCTCTCAGTATTTTGTATGTCGTTATCATGTCCCCCCTATCTCTCCTGTCCTCCAGTGTCGTCAGGTTGATTTCCCTTAACCTCTCCTCGTAGGACATACCTCTTAGCTCTGGGACTAGTCTTGTTGCAAACCTTTGCACTTCTCTAGTTTCTTTCACGTGCTTGGCTAGGTGTGGGTTCCAAACTGGTGCCGCATACTCCAATATGGGCCTAACGTACACGGTGTACAGGGTCCTGAATGATTCCTTATTAAGATGTCGGAATGCTGTTCTGAGGTTTGCTAGGCGCCCATATACTGCAGCAGTTATTTGGTTGATGTGCGCTTCAGGAGATGTGCCTGGTGTTATACTCACCCCAAGATCTTTTTCCTTGAGTGATGTTTGTAGTCTCTGACCCCCTAGACTGTACTCCGTCTGCGGTCTTCTTTGCCTTTCCCCAATCTTCATGACTTTGCACTTGGTGGGGTTGAATTCCAGGAGCTAATTGCTGTGTGTGTGCGTGTGTGTCTGTGTTGTGTGTGTGTGTGTGTGTGTGTGTGTGTGTGTGTGTGTGTGTGTGTGTGTGTGTGTGTGTGTGTGATAAGATAAGATAGATAAGATAAGATTTCGTTCGGATTTTTAACCCCGGAGGGTTAGCCACCCAGGATAACCCAAGAAAGTCAGTGCGTTATCGAGGACTATCTAACTTATTTCCATTGGGGTCCTTAATCTTGTCCCCCAGGATGCGACCCACATCAGTCGACTAACACCCAGGTACCTATTTGCTGCTAGGTGAACAGGACAATAGGTGTAAGGAAACGTGTCGAAATGTTCCCACCCGCCGGGAATCGAACCCGGGCCCTCCGTGTGTGAAGCGGGAGCTTTAGCCACCAGGCCAGGTGTGTGTGTGTGTGTGTGTACTCACCTATTTGCACTCACTTATTTGTGGTCGCAGGGGTCGAGACTCAGCTCTTGGCCCCGCCTCTTCACTGATCGCCACTAGGTCCTGCCTTTCCCTGCTCATTGAGCTTTATCATACCTCGTCTTAAAATTATGTTTGGTTCCTGCCTCCACTACTTCACTTGCTAGACTATTCCATTTCCTGACAACTCTATGACTGAACAAATACTTCCTAACATCCCTTTGGCTCATCTGTGTGTGTGTACTCACCTAATTGTGGTTGCAGGGGTCGAGACTCAGCTCCTGGCCCCGCCTCTTCACTGAACACTATTAGGTCCTCTCTCTCCCTGCCCATGAGCTTTATCATACCTCACCTTAAAGCTATGTATGGTTCCTGCCTCCACTACCTCACTTGCTAAGTTATTCCACTTCCTGACTACTTTATGACTGAAGAAATACTTCCTAACATCCCTTTGACTTATCTGGGTCTTCAACTTCCAATTGTGATCCCTTGTTTCTGTGTCCCATCTCTGGAACATCCTGTCTCTGACCACCTTGTCTATTCCACGCAGTATTATTTCCCTTAATCTTTCTTCATAGGACATTCCCCTGAGCTCTGGAAATAACCATGTCGCAAGCCTTTGCACCTTCTCTAACTTCTTGATATGCTTGATCAAGTGTGGGTTCCAAACTGGTGCTGCATACTCCAGTATGGGCCTGACGTACAGTGTACAGTGTCTTGAACGATTCCTTACTAAGGTATCGGAACGCTAGTCTCAGGTTTGCCAGGCTCCCATATGCTGCAGCAGTTATCTGGTTGATGTGTGCCTCCGGAGTCGTGTTCGGTGTTAAACTCACCCCAAGATCTTTCTCCTTGAGCGAGGATTGCAGTCGTTGGCCACCTAGCCTATACTCTGTCTGTGGTCTTCTTTGCTCTTCTCCGATCTTCATGACTTTGCATTTGGCGGGGTTAAATTCGAGAAGCCAGTTGCTGGACCACGTGTCCAGCCTGTCCAGGTCTCTTTTAAGTCCTGCCTGGTCCTCATCTGATTTAATTCTCCTCATTAACTTCACATCATCTGCGAACAGGGACACCTCTGAGTCTATCCCATCCATCATGTCATCACATATACCAAAAATAGCACTGGTCCTAGGACCGACCCCTGAGGTATCACAGGTGCCTACTGCGATACCTCATCACGTGCCATGACTCGTTGTTGCCTCCCTGTCAGGTATTCTCTGATCCATCGTGTGTGTGTGTGTGTGTGCGTCTGTGTGTGTTGATGACGTCAATATAATTAATGTTAATGAGGGCTGGGAACTCCGCGATCAACAAAGGGCATGACATTCAGACAGCCTCTCTAACATTGAGCTATTTTCTGTGATGACTGCTGTTCCTTGCTGCTGCTGCTGCTGCTGCTGCTGCTCCTTTCTGCTGCTGCTGCTGCTCCTTGCTGCTGCTGCTGCTCCTTGCTGCTCCTTGCTGCTGCTGCTGCTCCTTGCTATTGTTGCTGCTCCTTGCTGCTGCTGCAGCTGCTGCTCCTTGCTGCTGCTGCTGCTGCTGCTCCTTGCTGCTGCTGCTCCTTGTTGCTGCTGCTCCTTGCTGCTGCTGCTCCTTGCTGCTGCTTCTGCTGCTGCTGCTGCTGCTGCTGCTGCTGCTGCCACTGCTGCTGCTGCTACTTCTGCTCCTTGCTGCTGCTGTTGCTACTGCTAATGCTTATCAAGATATGGTCAACTAAGAGGGCAAGAAGGCAGTTTGGATATTTGGTATCAGTATGCGAGTCACATCTGTCTCATAACTGCGAGAATATAATCAACCATACATCTCAATGAAGAAAAGATGACCATAAATTTAATTGTGGTTTGATAGATAACAATTTGTTGAGTTCCAACTCAGATCATTGTTGTTGGCAGCACTTTCAACATGGATAGTAATGGAAAATAGAGCGAAAAAGGGATATTCCTTCTGGAAGGAGCAGCTCCAGAATTTCTATATGGGAGGGAAATAGGGATGGCTATCTGGCTGGAAGGGGAGGGATAGAGGGATGTGACTTGAAGTTGCATTATCATTATAATTTTTGGAATGGGATGTTGGGTTTGCATTATTATAGTTTTTGAAATGGGGGGGGTGTTAGGGGGTTGCATTATCATTATATTTTTTGGTGGGGAATGTTGGGGTTGCATTATTATAATTTTTGGAGAGGAATTATGGGGGTTGCATTATCATTGTATTTTTTGGTGGGAGTTGTTGGGGTTGCATTATCATTGTAATTTTGCCTTGGGGGACTTCATCCCCCCCGTCTGCTGAAAATTGGTCGAACCAAAACGTCATCATAAGCTCTTCTCTCCTCTGTGCGGGTTATTGTGTATTGTTCCAGTCATGGTATTGTGCCTTGTTGTTCTTTTCAAGCCTTTGGGCATGGAACTGGGAGGGAGGCAAGGATAAGCAAGATACAGGGCGAATGGAAAGGGGAGGTAAATTAAGATGTCACTCGAGTGTGGATATGAAGATTAAAGAGACATAATAAAGAGGGTGGGTGACAATTGGGTGACAATGAGAATAATAGGGCATTTTGTAAAAACTATCTGGTTTCTTTTAGCAATAACAAATCTAAACCCATGTGAGGCAGCCCAGTTAGAAGTGTGATTGGCATATAAGAGGGAGGTCACTACAAGTTGACATTGCCTGCACAAGCAATAGCAAATCCATGTATGCACTTAAAAGGAAGTCCAGATGTTTGAAAGAACAGTGAGTTTAAGAGCAAACAAGACCATTATTATTATAATCGTAACTAAGTGCTAAACCCAGCAAGTAAAATCAGGGTAGTTATATGTTATATGGTGATTGAGTATGTTTAGTACTCAGTACATACCTAATTTAAATGATCCTCATTTAAATTGAGATTTGAGGACCATTGCAGGATTTGTCCTTTCAATAAAGCCAATGTGACCTCAGTCACTTCTATAGTCAAGTGAGCAGCAGATACTGTGATGCAAGAAGTAGAAGAGGAAAATACAGGAGAGAAACATTGACAACTGCCAAGATAGATTGTGGCTGAGAGATGTAATGGAAGTAAGTGGAAGTGAATGTTTCTTTAACTGTCACATTATTATTATAATCAAAACTAATCACTAAACCCACAAGGGTCACACAATGCTGCTCCAACTGTCACAAATGTAAGAGCAAATGAGGATTACTATTAGCAAAAGTTAAGGGGCCAATAGGTTGGCAGTGAGTTTTGGTTACTGCTGGAGTTTTGAGTCTTTAGGGCTGTTGTGGCAGTGTCACAGGCACAGCTAGGAAAAGTTTGCAATTGGAGGAACATGAAAGATGAAGAGAATGAAGTGGTATGAATGGCAGATGGCAAAGAGGTAGGAACATCAGAGATGAGCACTTCATAAGACATGAACATTCAGGAGATTGTAGTATGCTTCTACAAGGTGCTGTGGGAGGCAAGTAGCTCTAGAGTATGATAGCTGTGGTAGACTACACTTGGAAATGGAGCTGAATTATTGCCACACTGTATGATAAACTGGGCAGCGACAGGTTGGTCATAAATGCTATCTTGAGTGTTTAAGAGAAAAAAAAAAAAAAAAAGACACCAGCAATCCTACCAATATTATTATATTCACAAAACATGCTCAACCTACATAGGTCACAAAGTGCCAAAAAGTTGAGGGATGCCATCAACTAACATGAGTAATGAAACAGCCTTTTAAACACAAAATAGTACATTTTATTACAGGTTAAAGCAATTATTGATCATACATATATGTAAAGTACATGTATATGGAGAGCAAGACAGCCAGGCGAGACAAAAGAGCCAATTTGAGACAAGAGACTGCCTGATAAACTGAATAATTAGATTTCCTCTACACAGCTACATAAAATTGGTCTTGGACACAAAATTGGCAAAGCATCTTTAAACATGGTTTCTCTGAATGCTATTTAGAAACTTAAAGTGAAGATTGCAATTAACTGATAGTACAGTCAATAGGGAAGATGAGTGTGTATTAGGAAGTGTAGAGATGGATAGTCCTCAGAATACTTGTGAGGAATTCAATATGAATCATTCAAGTCAAAACAAAAGAACTACCATGCATGGTCAAAGTGCTCCATGCATGTCACAACTACTACAAACACCATTCATGGTGCTGATAAATACCAATATATACAATGACAAGTTGTGATATTTCAAACAAGTGATGAATGAACATGAAATACAACATAGCATCACTACCAGTAAATAAAATTTGTACTTTTAAAATGTCCAAAGCCTAGACCATAGACCATATTTATCAGTACACCTAAACAACATACTGAAAAATAATTACTTGAACTCTAACTTATTTTATTATACACTTATCTCCAGCATTCAGCACAACTGCCAACAACATAATCTAACATTGTAACTTACAGAAGGAAAAATAAATATACACAGCATAAGTTTACCACTGGTGCTATTTTAAATTTGCCAAACTAAAAATGGTCAGGCTCTCTGGGTTAACAAAATTTCTAGTTACTGTAACAGAAGTATTTCTTGCAAAACCATTTATAATTTAGCTGGACAGTTCATTTAACTGTGGTTATTTTCATGCCAAATATCATTACATATGAAAAAATATTAAAGGAGAATTCTTCCGCAAAGTTAAATAACCATAATACACATTCTTCACCAGTGTGCATTAAATAAATATAAGCTTACCATATACTTTCGTTTTTCTTTTTGGGCGACTCTGCCTTGGTGGGATACGACCGATTTGTTGACAAAAAAAAAAGCTTATCACATATATGAAATTATCACATACAGGAAAGGGCCCCACATATACAGTGCCCATTTTTGTTGGCTTTTAACTGAGCCATTGTTCATTATGTTTGATGCTTTTACTGCTTTTTGCTGCTATCACTGTTTTTGTGCAACAGTGCATAAGGTAAGACCAGCGCTATATTTTTTAGGTATGTACATGTACTGTGTATTTACGTATGTACCTTTTTTATGCCTAGCTATATTGAGCACTTAATATATGATTGATAATGTGTTTACACTGACGTTTTAGATGCATTCGATAATGATCTTTTCCACCCACCAGTGATTTTCGCTTTTCATTTGGGGTCACAAACCTTAGTTATATGAACGGAGCCCTCCTGTACAAAAAATAAAAGCATTTAATAAAAGACAAAAAAAAAAAAATTAAAATCAGCTCGAATAAATAGTCTAATTCTTAAATTTATTTTTCTTGACCTCTCTACCAAAAGACATTAGGCCCCAAAAACACATGCCTCAAATAAACATACAAAAAATTTTATTCATTTCATAAAAATATAAAAAATAATATTTCCATCCTGTGACAGTAGCAGTGCCACATTCACCAGCTACTCCAGTGAGTTGCTTTTCTCAACTAACACACTATAGACTACTGTTGTTTTAAGATATTTTAATGTAAATTTACAAAATTACTTGCCTCGGTGGGAGACGACCGAAGTGTTAAAAAAAAATTAAATATTCACAAAATATTTTAATTTTACCAGAAAACATGGTGAATGGAGCAGACTACCATGTACTCTATTCATGGGCCGCACAATATCGATGCTGCAATGATTGTAACACTCCTGCAATAGAAATATTTTGCCTGAACAGAATGAAAAAGAGGGATTTATATTAGAAATTTAGATTAAGGGTCAGTCGAGTGATATTTCACACACATTTTTTCCAAAGTCCTAATAAGAGCCAACACTTATCAGCCCTCTAGTATTCACAGCCAGAAATTGTAGAAATTTATATTTAGCAAAACCAATGCTAGAACAAACAGATGGTGCATTTTCGAGTGGGTTATTAGAGACAAGGTACAGAACAAAACTTTACAGAACTTTTTAAGAGTAAATATAAAATATGCATACTAAGTACTAAATACAGTGGACCACCGCTTTATGATCACCTCCCAATGCGATCAATTATGTATGTGTATTTATATAAGTGCGTTTGTACGTGTATGTTTGGGGGTCTGAAATGGACTAATCTAATTCACAATATTCCTTGAGAACAAATTCGTTCAGTACTGGCACCTGAACATACTTCTGGAATGAAATAATATCGTAAACCAGGGGTCCACTGTACTTATAAGGTGTAGTAAACATGTCAGACTTTACATACAAATCCCAATGTTTATAATTTAGATGAAACTTGTAAGTTTTGACAACCAAACAAACTAAGTATGGACTAACAGTGCTTGTATACCTCATATTATTATATTCATGAAGGGAGTGCTAAACCCGTTGAGGTCATACATCACCTGGGGGAATGGATGACATTCAGGCTTGATTCGAGGAACTGGAGCACTGGTCCAGTTCCTTAGGTCAAGATCCCCTCACCAACTGTGGTGAGGACCATGAGTCAGTACTAAGACTTAGCAGTTGGACCACTTTAATGGGTTCCTAAATGCTCGGTTTGAAAGTGGAGATGTATATGACTTAATACATTTGTAATATATTGAGCACTCTGTATTGAGAAACCCCTCCATACTTTCTCATATATACTCAAATTATTTTCCCTGTACACTATATATTTAACTATCAAGAAGTATCATTCATAAGTCTTCTGTTAGCTTACTGTATACATTTATCTCTAAAATAAGTTTTTCAATAAACGTTAGATATCAATTATTAAGCCTAATAGTAATCCTTCATTGGTTTAAAAAACTATAATTGAAAACCTAATTGAATAATTTTTTGCTAATTGAGTCTTTGTCACTTGAGCGTAGCCTGGATCTTCCACAATGTTAAGTGTCTTGTACGCTCATAAGTGAAGTATTGTTCAAAGTCGGTGGGTAGTGCTTCTATTGTCCAGTCAATCTGAGAGAGGTTCTGAGAACCCAACCACTCCAGGCCTTGAAGAAAATATTCATAACATGGAGCCACTGTATCCATATCCTCCTGAGTGAAGACATATCTGCCAATTAATAAAAATTTATTACCAGACTGAAGGTATGATAACTGATAAACTGTATACAATTATTATTATTATTATTATTATTATTATTATTATTATTATAATCATAGCCAAGTGCTCTTAAGCTTAAGGTAGGTACAATATACACAATATGATGAGAACTGTCATAGCCTATTATAATTGATATTAAAAAATATTGGTGTGAACTACAAGATTAGTAACAAATCACCAGCAAGTGTAAAACACTTTAGATGCAAGTAGAAAGAAAAAATCAGGACGCAAAATGTTCGCTACAGTAAGCAAGAATATGCTGACATAAAGGCAAGTAGAAAGAAAAGATGAAGTGACACTGCAGGAAAGAGTGAATGCATGTGATTAAAATGAACAATCTTGGCACACTTATGAGTCATTTTCCATTGACAAGCCTGTTTACCTTCTTAGAATAAAATCCTGGTAAAGCTTACCCTTGTATGGCAAAGGTTGTATGAAACGCAACAGGTGCAGGACATTTTGGTTTTCTGTCGCATTCAACTCATGCAGGAGCCCTTCCCGACACCCTCATGATATTCCCTGCTCTACTGGATATTAGCATTGGGAGGGAAGCAAAAAGACTAAAATCAGGGTCTTGAGTAGAAGAGTTCTTGTACACACTCCTTTAATACCTAGTGTCATCTCATCTCATCCTACCATTTAATATTTATTAATGCCTAATAATAACAGTTTACTCGTTTTCCTTTCCATTTACTTCAATGGGCTCCATCTCATTTACCTGTGCAAAGTTTTCTTCATTCAATGTTCTTCCTTGCATGAACAAACTATTTTATTCTTATTACCTTGTACATATCTCTCTTGAATTCAACAATATTATAGATTAAACTGATATTTTTCTGTGTTTGCAGATTTTGAATGTGTAAGGAACACACTTCTGATACTAGAGAGAATATGAGACTAACACGAGTGAGGCAGAGGACCATGTTTACAGGCAGGAAGGAGAAATACAGAACTGGTAGAAAGAGGCGAAAAATTGTGGTATACGAGAAATAGACAGATATGAAAGTTTTTTACAATGTAAAAATTATACTGTACAAGAAAGGTAACCTATATGGCAACCTGGAGAGTTGTGAAGGAGTGTGTCTGAATTTGTCTTCATTGCTTGAGGATTGTTCCTTGTCTGGAGGACTGATTTATGACCAAATACAACAGGCCTCCCTTTGTGTACCCATGTTCCTAATATGTATTCATGAAATACAAAAATAGTGAGAAGGAAATCAGTTTTTTATACAAAAAAAGTAAAATTAACTTAGATCATTTCATACAAAGTAGTGCTTTCAGTAAAAGACTTGCCTCTTTTCCAGTGCAATGTACATAGTCTTGTCAGGTGGGTCGCTCATCAGCCGAAGGACTGTCCTGAGGAAAGCATCAGTCAGCTGGTCATGGTACACCACTGGAAAAAATGACAAAGATAAGAGTAGCTGCTCCTACATATATTTTTAACATCGTCTGTGCTATAATGTTATGCAAGTGTGGTGCCATGTGGAAGAGCGCAATGTATGGTGGCATGTTTTCGGAGTTGTAAAGTGTGATGACATAATGTCAAGGTGGCGACATGTAGCAGAATGTTGAGAAGGGTAGCAATGTATGTATGATGTGGAAGTTTGTGATAAGGTACGGAGGTTTGTGATGGAGTGTGGAAGTTTGTACTCGCCTAAATGTGGTTGCAGGGGTTGATTCATAGCTCCTGGCCCCACCTCTTCACTGGTTGCTGTGATGAAGTGTTGAGGTTTGAGATGAAGTGTAGAGGCTTGTGATGAAGTGTGGCAGCATGGAAGGGTGGCAATGTGTGGTGACATGTGGTGAAGTGTTGATCAACCATCATCACCACCACTACCTTCATATGTATGGTCATAGTATATATAACATTTGTATGAACAAAGCAGTAACACATGCAGCATATCTGTAATTATTATATTCATGGAGAAGCACTAAACCTGTAGGGGACATCCAGCACCTGAGGAATTAATGGATGTGGGTATAAAATACTGTAAATTCAATTATGTATGTATGTATAATATTCAAGCTAGCTAGTGCCCATAATTTCACAGATAGGTTGGTGCAAGTGTTAAATATTTGCATGAAAGGGGGAGGGGGGGGAAGAAAGGTATCTAGGGATTAGCAGAGAGCAAACATAGTTCCTTTGCATAAGTGAAAAGGGGATAAAAGAGTAAGAATTATAGGGAAATAAGCCTGCTGAGTTAACCCCTTCTCCTGTATAAATCACTAAATTTGAAAAGAGAAATTTTGGTTTTTCTTTTTGGGCCACCCTGCCTCGGTGGAATACGGCCGGTTTGTTGAAAGAAGAAGAAGCCTGCTGAGTATACCGGGTAAATTGTCCAGCAGTTATTATTGAAACAATTAAGGGTGAGAGAGCAGAGAAACAGAGGTTTTAGGAAGGGTAGGGAGGGGATGTGCAGATCAGGTGTTTACATCGAAGAATATAAGTAAAAAATTCTTAGATAAAAGTAAGGAACTTTTTATTACATTCATGGATTTAGAAAAAGCATATGACAGGGTGGATAGGGTAGCAACATTGTAGACATTGCAAATGAATGAAACAGGTCATAGGTTATTAAAAGAAGTAAATTTATGTGGATAGTGAGGCTCAGGTGAAAGTAGGCCTTAGACAGAGAGGTGCGATATCAACATAGTTGCTTAACATATTTACATATGGGGTTGTAAAAGAAGTGAATGTTAGAGTATTGGGGAGAGGTGTAGGATTTAGATGATTCTTAATACAAAGTGGGAGTTGTTACATTTGCTTTTTGTCGATGATATGATTCTTGGGAGATTCTAAAGAACTACAAAAGGTTGATAGATGAATTTCAGAGGGCATATAAAAGAAGGAAATTAAAAGTGAACATAGGAAAAAAGCAACATAATGAGAATAACAAAAAATTTAGGCAGTGGAAGGCCAGACATTAGATTGGAGAGAGGGAGTGTAGAGGAAGTAAATGTGTTTAGATATCTGGGAGTGGAGTTGTCAGCAGATGGTTCTATAAAAGATAGAGTGAATCATAGAATTGATGAGAAGAAAAATGTGGGTGGTGCTCTGAGGCATCCGTGGAGACTAAGAAACTTATCTATGGAGGCAAAAAAATGGGGCAATGCACTGAGAGTACACAGGTCCCAACACCTATGTGGATGTGAATAATGGGTTTTAAGTCTTGCAACAAGGAAGAGGTTGGAGGCAGTGGAGAAATCATGTTTGAAGGCAATGTGTGGTATGAATATTATGCAAAGAATTTGTAACCTGGATATTAGAAGGTGTGTGATTACCACAATTATTATTAAAATGGTGAAGGAGGGGTTACTGAAGTGGTTTGGAGATATCAAGATGATGGAGCAAAGCAAGAGATTAGGCAGGAATGCAAATCTGGGATAAAGGGAAGGAGGGGTAAGAGTCACATCCCAGGAAGGGTTGGAAGGAAAGGGTAAGAGGTTTTGAGTGCTAGTGACTTGGACATCCAACAGACATGTGAGTGTGTGTTAGAGTGGCAGCAAGTGGATTTTCTGATTTGAAGTACTATCAAGGTGTGAGCAAGATAACATTTATGAAAGGATTCAGGGAAACCAGTTAGCCAGACTTGAGTCCTGGTTCTGGGAAGTACAGTGCTTACACTGAATAGGGAGTGGGGACACTGCAGTTCAGAATGCTATCCAAGCTGTGTTGTCTGCACGCTTCTGGCAAGACTGATCGAATGAATGACAATGAAAGTTTTTCTTCTTTTCCAGGTTGCCCTATCTAGGTGGGAGACAGATAATATGCTAAAAAAAAAATCATTATTGCTCATGATACCTCATAAACAGCAGGAACAAGTGAACAAGGGGGTAATACCATCAGCAGCCAGAAGAACTGAAACATTTTTCAAATCCATTATCTCTTCAATGGTGGCATGATTAAAGAAGTCGATTTCTTTCACTTCTACTTTGGCTTTGATCAAATCTATGTTCCTTTTGATGTTTCGATTGATGAGTTCCAATATGTCACCACGATCAACATCTGCAATAACAAATGACAATTACTAACCAGAGTTTCAAAAATTTATAGTTTAGCATTCTTTTCAGCATACTTTACTCTTTATTGAAATGCAAATAACTCCTTAAGTATTTTTAACCCGTAAACAGTCCAAACGTATATATACTGTACGTTTTTTTTGCCATACATTCAACATTGCCACGATAAGCCTGAGTCACCTAGACATGAGAGAATGGGTGTGTGCACTCACTGTGTTCTATATTAAAATAATTGGGGATGCCTGGGTACCATATGCTCTTTTTTCCTATTAAAAAAAAAAAATTTGTTTTTTTTCTCAAAAAAGTTGGGGCACTACGGTAGAGAACGTATATATAAACGTTTAGACTGTTTACGGGTTAAACATGTTGCCTTCAAAAATACACTTTAAAATATCTATAGAGCAAATGTGCCTTTCATAATAGGTAATTATAATTTACCTTTTGCTTGTTTTTTCTGTGTTGAAAATATATTTGTTTTAACCAAAGATTTGTATTTTTTAATTCTAGCATGATGACTTGATGTGCTGTTGAAGTGTGAGCACAGTAACATTTACGAAGGAACTCGGGGAAACTGGTTAGCTGGACTCGAGTCCTGAAGGTGGGAAGTACAGTGCCTGTGCTCTGAAGGTGGGGTGTAGATATGTTGCAGTTTTTTTTTTAACTGTAGTGTCAGCATGCCTCTGGCAAGACAGTGATAGAGTAAGTGATGATGAAAGTGTTTCTCCTTTTTCGGATCACCCTGCCTAGGTGGAAAATGGTTGATGTGGTAATAAAAAAAATTATTGTTTTCACATGTATGCATGGGTATACGATAATAAAGGCACTAACCAGAAATAATGACTTGCTTGGCTAACATGGCTGCCACTACTGAGGTAAGACCAACTCCCGAAGCAACTTCCAGGATGTGTGCATCTCTGAAGATATCTGGATAATTGAGGATAAAATCTGCCAGGAAGAGTGAACCTCGCCACACCTGCTCACCCACCAGCTCCAGTGTCGTGGCACTCTGGTGTTCTGGTAACAAAAATTAATATATTGTACTCAACCCATTTTAATCACCACTACATTTTATTTTTAGATAAAACTAAACAATTGGCTTCTATTGCTCACCTGGATGTCTTGTACATTGGTGGGCTACATTTGAAACATGATATCCATGCACTTCTGGAAAGACAGCTAAAGAATGAGTGATGGTGAATGCATTTCCTTCTTTGGGTCACCCTACCTTAGTGAAATATGGTCACCATATTAAAAACTAGTGTATGAGTATATAAATTTATTTGCCTTTTCAGAAACTAGTGTATGAGTATATAAATTTACCTGTCTTTTTATATATGATGATATACAGGAACTTTAGGTGGAAGACCATCATCAAATGACAACTCAGCAATTAACAATTATAGAGGGGTCTGAAGAAAAATTATCAGTGTCACTAGGGACATGGTTATAAAACAATTAAACTGAAGCAAAACAAGTCCCCAGGCCCTGACAAACTGTTCTTAAGAGTACTTCAGAAATACGCAATGAAACTTAAAGAACAGCTAACAAGCCTGTTTTAATATATTACCACAAACAGGTGTCATGTCAAATATGTGGAAGATGGCTAATGTAATTCCTATTTTTCAACTCAGCAACTAAGCCTGTAGACTTATCTTCAAAGTGCCACCCAATATGCCTGACCTCAACAGTAGGCAAATTATTAAAATCAATAACATCTGATATGATAAGAAGCCAACTTAATGAGGATAATTTGATTAAAGAATCTCAACAACAATCCACAAGTACTGGTTTAAGAATCTGCCAAGTGTAGTCAATAATGCTAACACTTAAACTAGTTTCAAAAATAGATGTGATAAATATAAGAATGAGAAAGACCGAGTTTGAGAAAGACCTGCCAAGGATGGGATAGTAGGATAGCTATAGTGGTCCACCATTCTTATGTATGTACTGAGTTGATGTAACACCAATTCAAGTAGAGAACCTGAATGCTGGTGAAGGGCATTATGTACTTTCCATTCAAAGACTGTATGACCCTTATGGCTGTAATGCTTCCCTGTGAATATAATTAAGGTAATATGGTATTATAAAATCCAGGTACTATACTACCAGTATACTTTACTACATCTTCCTTGGTATGAAAATAACTTACCTCTTTTTTTTGCATGGAAGAGTTTTTGTTCTAGGGCCAGATGATGACAACAGATACAACAGCAAGAAGATACAAAAAAAGCCATGTCAATATACCATGTGAGTGCAATGCCAGAGTAACACAATACTAATTCCATTAATAAGAGTGTTATCAGCTTAAGTCATGCAAATGGCAAATATGAAAGGTAAATCAAACAAAAATTATTCTGGTTTAGGTACTATTAACTATTTTTTTTAATCCCACTAAAATATGAAGCAGCATTAAACCCATGCAACAATGATGACCAATAATGAATTTGGCCAAGATGGAAGAAAATTTTAAAGAAAAAATTACAAACCTACTTGCAGCACACACACACACGCGTACATTACAGCTTTCATAACCAATGCAACTGATGCAATGCAAAAGAAAATCATACTAGCTGATATTCATCATTAAAAACTGCTAACAAAACATATAGCACATGCAGCCCAGCCTTATATAAGGCCTCAAGGATGTCACTCGCAAAACTCACCTAACACATAGGTACCAATTTCTTGCTAGGTGAACTGAGGCAACAGGGGTAATGATGCATGCCCCTCAAGTACACATCCCCCAGGATTAAGCTGCCCGAGTCCTCTAGTTTGAGTCAAAGGCACAACTAATGACCTACAAGTCACCTAAGTTACATTCGTGCATTAAAGCTCACATACCTACAATAATCTATATAATCAATAAACCACTGCTATTATATGAAGCAGTTACTAATCTTACAAGCAACTCATTCAGACTTTATAAATCAGTATATTAAGATTAATTTTTTAACTAACCAATGAGCACAGCCCCTTCTTTTTTGTGAAGGTCCTTCTTTCTGGTAACTTGAAGGTCTCCATCAGAATCAATCACAGGTGATATAATGGGGCACTTCTCTACTACCATATATGCTGGGTATACAAAGTCAAATCTTGAAAGCACAGCTGAGGAGAGATAGAAAACAATAAATTTATATGCTGTATCATATTTATTTTTCTAAATTTTGTTGCTAGGTGCTTAGCACAGTACCATGGCTAAGCTATTCATTATCAACCATCACATGATAATAATCCAGGATGGACAGAAACAATGCTTAAAGCTTTCTCTCCCATTTGTAGGCAAATACTGTGATGAATAGGCAACACCATTTGTTCTAGAGAGACAACCATTATCTTCAGAAAACTAGTGCAATAAGTTTCAACCAACTTTATAATGAGTCTGAAAAAGGATTTTTGACAAAATACAAAATATGTACGTACATACCATGGGAACAATTATTACAGTCTTCATAAATTGAAAATAATACAGTAATTGAAAATAATACGCTTTTTATCCTTGAGAAAACTGTAGAATTTGTAGATTAAGTTATTTGTAAACATACACAAAAAATAGTATTTCAGATCTTGAGCCTCATATTTTTCTTAAAAATTACAAAATACGTACTTGACTACGTATACTGTACCTGAATCTTCATTGTAAAAGGCAGGACATACAAGAAAGTTCGTTCCTGTTACCTGGTAGTAAATCTATACCAAAAATTAGTCTGACTGTTGTGCATCATGACCTATGGGAAGATATAAAAAATAGGGCACCCCCATGGAAGCCACACTACTTGGCTTGCTTGTGTTATCCTTGTTAATAACTCTCTGGAGGTATTACTCTGAATAAATTATTCTTCTACTATATATTAATAAGGACAATGTGCAATACATATATGATTAAGACATTTGAAGCCTAATTTATAAACCACTTGTGTCCAGCCACTTTAAATTAAGATGCCTAGCAGTAAAATAGGTACCTAGGTGTTAGCCGACTGTTGTGGATTGCATCCTGGGAACAAAATTGACCTAATTTGTCCAAAATGCTCTGCATAACAAGGGGGTTTCTATGTATGTCACTGATGTCAGCTAGACCTGTATATGTTGCACATGTACTTGTAGAAATTAAGATTATTATAATTATTAAGGTTATGATCGATTACCAGAAATGTACAATGAACAAGAAGTGACATAATCACTGATATTATTATTTTTTTTTTTTGACATGTCGGCTGTTTCCCACCAAGGCAGGGTGGCTCAAAAGAAAGAACCTCAAAAAAATGAAAAAACTTTCATTATCATTCAACACTTTCACCATCACTCACAAGATTTCATTCAGATTTTTAACCCTGGAGGGTTAGCCACCCAGGATAACCCAAGAAAGTCAGTGCATCATTGAGGACTGTCTAAATATTTCCATTGGGGTCCTCAATCTTCTTCCCTAGGATCTGGCCCACACCAGCCGACTAACACCAGGTACCCATTTGCTGCTAGGTGAAAGTAACAGGTGTAAGGAAACATGTTGAAATGTTTCCACCCCGCCGGGAATCGAACCCATGCCCTCAGTATGTGGAGTGAGAGCTTTTGTCAGCCAGGCCACGGGGCCACTGTCTTTGCAGAGGCACCCAGATACGACAATTTAGATAGTCACTCCAAACTGCCAATATCCCAAACCACTCTTTTAAAGTGGAGGCATTGTACTTCCCACTTCCAAGACTCAAGTCTGGCTAACTGATTTCCCTGAATCCCTTCACAAAATATTACCCTGCTTACACTCCAACAGCTCATCAGGTCCCAAAAACCATTCGTCTCCATTCATTCCTATCTAACACACTCACGCACGCTTGCTGGAAATCCAAGGCCCTCGCCCACAAAACCTCTTTTACCCCCTCCCTTCAACCTTATCAAGAATGACCCCTACCCCGCCTTCCTTTCCCTACAGATTTATATGCTCTCCAAGTCATTCTTCCTTCCTCCATTCTCTCTAAATGACCAAACCACCTCAACAACCCCTCTTCAGCCCTCTGACTAATACTTTTAGTAACTCCACACCTCCTAATTTCCACACTACAAATTCTCTGCATAATATTTACACCACACATTGCCCTTAGACAGGACATCACCACTACCTCCAGCCGCCTCCTTGCTGCAGCATTTACAACCCAAGCTTCACACTTATATAAGTGTTGGTACCACTATACTTTTGTACATTCCCTTCTTTGCCTCCATGGATAACATTTTTTGTCTCCACAGATACCTCAATGCACCACTCACCTTTTTTTCCTTCATCAACTCTATGGTTAACTTTATCCTTCATAAACACATCTGCTGACAAGTCATCTCCCAAATACGTATCTGAAAACATTCACTTCTTCCATACTCTCTCTCTCCAATTTGATATCCAGTTTTTCTTTATCTAAATAGTTTCATACCCTCATCACCTTACTCTTATCTATATTCGCTTTCAACTTTCTACCTTTACACACCCTCCCAAACTCATCCACTAACCTTTGTAACTTTTCTTTAGAATCTCCCATAAGCACAGTATCATCAGCAAAAAGTAACTGTGTGAACTCCCATTTTGTATTTGATTCCCCAAAACTTAATCCCACCCCTCTCCCGAACACCCTAGCATTTACTTCTTTTACAACCCCATCTATAAATATATTAAACAGCCATGGTGACATTACACATCCTTGTCCAAGACCTACTTTTACCAGGAAATAATCTCCCTCTCTTCTACACACCCTAACCTGAGCCTCACTATCCTCATAAAAACTCTTTACAGCATTAAGTAACTTACTACCTATTCCATACACTTGCGACATCTGCCACATTGCTCCCCTATCCACTCTGTCATATGCCTTTTCTAAATCCATATTATTATTATTATTATTATTATTATTATTTTTTTTTTTTTTTCAACAAGTCGGCCGTCTCCCACCGAGGCAGGGTGACCCAAAAAAGAAAGAAAATCCCCAAAAAGAAAATACTTTCATCATCATTCAACACTTTCACCACACTCGCACATTATCACTGTTTTTGCAGAGGTGCTCAGAATACAACAGTTTAGAAGCATACACATATAAAGATACACAACATATCCCTCCAAACTGCCAATATCCCAAACCCCTCCTTTAAAGTGCAGGCACTGTACTTCCCATTTCCAGGACTCAAGTCCGACTATATGAAAATAACCGGTTTCCCTGAATCCCTTCACTAAATATTACCCTGCTCACACTCCAACAGATTGTCAGGTCCCAAGTACCATTCGTCTCCATTCACTCCTATCTAACACGCTCACGCACGCTTGCTGGAAGTCCAAGCCCTTTGCCCACAAAACCTCTTTTACCCCCTCTCTCCAACCCTTTCGAGGACGACCCCTACCCCGCCTTCCTTCCCCTATAGATTTACAGTGGACCCCCGGTTAACGATATTTTTTCACTCCATAAGTATGTTCAGGTGCCAGTACTGACCGAATTTATTCCCATAAGGAATATTGTGAAGTAGATTAGTCCATTTCAGACCCCCAAACATACACGTACAAACGCACTTACATAAATACTGTACACTTACATAATTGGTCGCATTCGGAGGTAATCGTTATGCGGGGGTCCACTGTATATGCTTTCCATGTCATTCTACTTTGATCCATTCTCTCTAAATGACCAAACCATCTCAACAACCCCTCTTCTGCCCTCTGACTAATACTTTTATTAACTCCACACCTTTTCCTAATTTCCAAACTCCGAATTTTCTGCATAATATTTACACCACACATTGCCCTTAAACAGGACATCTCCACTGCCTCCAACCGTCTAATCGCTGCTGCATTTACCACCCAAGCTTCACACCCATATAAGAGTGTTGGTACTACTATACTTTCATACATTCCCTTCTTTGCCTCCATAGATAACGTTTTTTGACTCCACATATACCTCAACGCACCACTCACCTTTTTTCCCTCATCAATTCTATGACTAACCTCATCCTTCATAAATCCATCCGCCGACACGCCAACTCCCAAGTATCTGAAAACATTCACTTCTTCCATACTCCTCCTCCCCAATTTGATATCCAATTTTTCTTTATCTAAATCATTTGACACCCTCATCACCTTACTCTTTTCAATGTTCACTTTCAACTTTCTACCTTTACACACATTCCCAAACTCATCCACTAACCTTTGCAATTTTTCTTTAGAATCTCCCATAAGCACAGTATCATCAGCAAAAAGTAACTGTGTCAATTCCCATTTTGAATTTGATTCCCCAAAATTTAATCCCACCCCTCTCCCGAACACCCTAGCATTTACTTCCTTTACAACCCCATCTATAAATATATTAAACAACCATGGTGACATTACACATCCCTGTCTAAGACCTACTTTTACCGGGAAGTAGTCTCCCTCTCTTCTACACACCCTAACCTGAGCCTCACTATCCTCATAAAAACTCTTTACAGCATTTAATAACTTACCACCTATTCCATATACTTGCAACATCTGCCACATTGCTCCTCTATCCACTCTATCATATGCCTTTTCTAAATCCATAAATGCAATAAAAACTTCCCTACCTTTATCTAAATACTGTTCACATATATGCTTCAATGTAAACACTTGATCTACACCTCCCCTACCCACTCTGAAACCTCCTTGCTCATCCGCAATCCTACATTCTGTCTTACCTCTAATTCTTTCAATTATAACCCTACTGTACACTTTTCCTGGTATACTCAGTAAACTTATTCCTCTATAATTTTTACAGTCTCTTTTGTCCCCTTTCCCTTTATATAAAGGGACTATACATGCTCTCTGCTAATCCCTAGGTACCTTCCCCTCTTTCATACATTTATTAAACAAAAGTACCAACCACTCCAACACTATATCCCCCCCTGCTTTTAACATTTCTGTCATGATCCCATCAGTTCCAGCTGCTTTACCCCCTTTCATTTTATGTAATGCCTCACGTACCTCCCCCACACTTACATTCTGCTCTTCTTCACTCCTAAAAGATGGTATACCTCCCTGACCAGTGCATGAAATTACTGCCTCTGTTTCTTCCTTAACATTTAAAAGTTCCTCAAAATATTCTCGCCATCTACCTAATACCTCCATCTCCCCA